TTGTTATGGCAATACAGGGAAGGTGATCTCCACAAAACCATGCTCATTTTCTTGGCCTTCAGGTGATATACTGTATGCAGAATGTCAAAAATGGGTCAGTTAGTGACATTTGTACCTAGGCCAAGGACCCAGGATGGCAGCCATATGTTTGCTAATACCATTACAGGTTTCTACTAAGAAACAATCACAATATTTGCCAAGACTTAGCACGGATGACCCTGCATTTCCTAAACATTTGGGTGGTAGACACTGTGGCTTGAGGAAGGCATGCATTACCCTGAGCTCATGCTCATGGTTTTCAATTTAGATATGCTTGGAATTTCCACAGCTTGTCTTAGGTTGTGAAGTGGACTTCTAAGAATCTGCATATCAACAAATTACAGTCATATGTCACTTAGTGACAGGGATGCATTCTGAGAAATGTGATGTTAGATGATTTTGTTGTTGTACATCACAAAGTGTACTTACACGAACCTAGATGGGACAACCTACTATACACCTAGGCTATATGATAGAGCCTATTGCTCCTAGGCTACAAACCTGTACAGCCTGTGACTGTACTGAAAACTGTAGGCAACTGGAACAGAATGGAATTTGTGTATCTAAACATATCTAAAGCCAGGTGTGGGGGCTCATGCCTGTAATCCTAGCATTTTGTGAGGCTGAGGTGGGTGAATCACTTGAGCTCAGGAGTTTGAGACCTGCCTGGGCAACATAGTGAGATCCCGTCTTTACAAAAAAAATATAAAAATCAGCTGGGCATGGTAGCATGCGCCTGCAGTCCCAGCTACTTGGGAGGCCGAGGTGTGAGACTGGCTTGAGCCCAGGAAGCAGAGGTTGTAGTGAGCTGAGATGGCGCCACTGCACTCCAGCCTGGGTGGCAGAGCCAGACCCTGTCTCTAAATAAATAAATAAAAAATAAACATATCTAAATATAGGAAAAGTATGGTTAGAATATGGTCTAAAAGAATTTAAAAAAGGTACACTATATACAGTACTTACCATCAATGGAGCTTGGAGGACTGGAGGTCACTCCGGTGAGTCAGTGAGTGAGTGTGAAGGCCTAGGACATTACTATACACTACTGTAGATTTTACAAACACTGTACACTAAGACTCTACTAAATTTATAAAAAAGTTTTTTTATTTCTTCAATAAATTAGCCTTAGCTTGTTGTAATTTAACTTTATATACTTTTTATTTTTTAAAAAACTGACTCTTTTGTAACAGCATTCCTCTCTTTTTTTTCTTTGTCTAAAGGCTTGATTTTTTAAATCGTTTCAGAAAACTTTTCGTGTATCTTTTCTACAGTTTTTTTGGTTTCTGTTCTGATCTTTAATATTTCTTTTTTGTAACTAATTTTGGGTTTGGTTTGCTCTTTTCTAGTTCTTTAAGATGCATTATTAGGTTGTTTATATAAAGTTTTTCTACTTGTTGATGTAGGTGTTTATTGCTGTAAACTTCCCTCTTAGTAGTGCTTTTGATATATCCCATAGGTTTTGGTGTGCTGTTTTCATCTTAATTTGTTTCAAGAATTAAAAAAAAATTCCTTCTTAATAACACTTGGCTTAAAACACAAATACATTGTACAGTTGTACCAAAATATTTTCTTTGTAGCATAATTCTATAAGCTTTTTTTCTATTTTTCTATTTTAACTTTTTTGCTAACTGTTTTTGTTAAAAACAGGCAAACATGCATTAGCCTAGGCCTGCATCAGGTCTGGATCATCAATATCACTGTCTTCCACCTCTACATCTTGTCCCACTGGAAGGTCTTCATGGGTAACAACACTCATGATAATGCCTTCTTCTGAAATACCTCCTGAAGGAACTACCTCAGGCTGTTGCACAGTTAATGTTTTTTTTTTTAATAGGTAGAAGGAGTGTACTCTAAAACTGATAAATAGTAAATACATAAACCAGTAATATAGTCATATATTAAAGTATTATGTACTGTACATAATTGTATGTGCTGTACTTTTTTCTTTTTTTTTTTTTGAGACGGAGTCTCTCTGCACTCTGGGCATGGTGGTGCATGCCTGTAGTCCTAGCTACTCAGTGCAACCTCCGCCTCCTGGGTTTAAGTGATTCTCCTGTCTCAGCCTCCCGAGTTGCTGGGATTACAGGCGTGCACCACCACACTCAACCAATTTTGTATTTTTAGTAGAGACAGGGTTTCACCATGTTGGCTGGGCTGGTCTCGAACTCCTGACCTCAAGTGATCCACCCACCTTGGCCTCCCAAAGTGCTGGGATTACAGGCTTGAGCCACCGCGCCCAGCCTGTGCTGTATTTTTATATGACTGGCAGTGCAGTAGGTTTGTTTATACCAGCATCACCACAAACACATGAGTAATGTGTTATGTTATGATGCTGTGACATCTCTAGGCAATAAGAATTCTTCAGCTCCATTATAATCTTTTGGGACCATTATGGTATATGCAATCTGTCACTGACAAAAAAGTCATTATGTGGTACATGACTGTACTTTCTTTGGTCAAGTGGTCAGACAGAAAGGCTGTTGCACAAATGCTTGTAGGGTCTCTCAGTGGTTTTTTTTTTTTTTTGAGACAGAGTCTGTCTCTGCTGTTACCCAGGCTGGAGTACAGTGCTGTAATCACTGCTCACTGCAACCTTGAACTTCTGGGCTCAAGTGAGCCTCCTGAGCCTCTTGCCTCAGCCTCCTGAGTAGCTAGGACTACAGGCATGCACCACCATGCACAGCTAAGTTTTTATGTTTTAGTTGAGACAAGGTCTTGCTATGTTCCTTACTCTGGTCTTAAACTCCTGGCCTCAAGCAATCCTCCCACCTTGGTTTCGGCCTCCTATAGGGCTGGGATTACAGGCAGAAGCCACAGTGCCCGGCCTCTCAGGTATTTTCTAAGGTTCCAACAAGACGACTGGGTTAGCAGTCTATGGCCACTTCTTATCTCTTAATCCTTCCGTGCCTCTCCTTTGCAGTTTAGTGTATTAATCTCTGTATGTAACATCACCTTGAATGTTTTACCATTCCTTCCCATCACAGTTTTGTTCTGGTTGGTGAAGGAGACCAAGGCATGCCTGTGAGAATTGAAATAAATTTCATCACTGAGCAAGTTAGTTACTTTAACCTTCTAGAATCACCAAATACTTTAAATGCTCATTAAAAAGATAAGAGCGGCAAATCTGTTGTGATCTGGGTTCTTACGATACCTGGGGTTTTAGTTTCTCCTCCATACTGGGCTGTGTAAAGAAGGCTCTTCATCTTGGGGAACACTGACAGTGAGTGGACCTGAGGAGAGAGCAGGAGGAAAGCTGCAAGGGGTGTAGGGGTGTGTGTGTGTATGTGTGTGTTTCGTAGCTATAGAATTCCGAGAGGCAGTCAAAACTGCCAACCTTCCTTTGTAGGACTAACTTTAGGCCAAGAGAGAATGGCTGAGTGAATCCTTTGGTGACAGCTGCTGCAACACCTTGGTGAAGGTTTCTCTTGTCCCTGGCCACCAGACTCACAGGAATTGCGCCAGTCTGTCTGACCATAATGCTACTACTGTACCAAGAGTGCCTAAATATTCATTTCTTAAATGTTTTTCAGCTTTACTATGTGCAAGGCCCTGTACTAACCCTGAGACCAGCTAATTAAAGAGTTACTCTTCCTGACTCTTACCTCCTTATAACTGATGCTGCTGACCGTTATTTTTATATGGTATCATCATGCCCTTCCCCCCAGACAATTCTAAAGCTAGAGAATAAAAGCACAAAACAGAACGGCTGGGAAAATGGGTTGTGGATTACATCAGTCACAGAACGTCTTAGCAAACAGGCGGAGAGAAATCTCCCAAGTAATCTTTGAAAACCTGCAGAACATCAGAGCCCAGAGCGGGGGCCATGTCTGCTCCACCACCTTTACTGGTAATGAGAGTTTCCCTGGAACACATCCGCGCTCATTTGTTTACATACTGTTGTTGGGAAAAAGGCTTATGGGGTGCCTGCATAAACGGGCCATAAAAATATGGGACAGTAAGTTGTGGAAAGCCACAAGACACCTCTGAGGAGGAAAGCCTTCCTATCGCCATTATGTCCCCATGCTCTGAGTGCAACCTGCTCTCTTATCTATAAACACTGTGCTACAGGAGAAAGACACGCCTTTGAAACATTGGAATGTGGACAGACATACAGGCTCCTAGTTAAGCCCGCTCCCATTAGCTACTCCCCAATAAGTTAAAGATATGCTATTTAAGCACAAAGGAGATTCATTTAAACTGCTATTGCTATAGATTACGCCTATGACACACTGCCTCCCTTTCACTGTTTCGCCCTAAACATCTGCTTCTTAGATCTAAGAGATTGTACTCAACAAATAGTGTGGAGATCAGAACTCTGGGCCTTTTGCAGCCCCCATTTTGCAACTGGCCTCCTGGCTCCCACCTTTATGGAATCTTAACCTGTCTCTTCTCTTCCTTTGTCACCACTGGGCTTTGGGTACCCTATGGGTGGTGTTGAGGCTGGTCCCCAACATATGTCTATGGCTGCTTTCATGCTACAATGACAGAGCTGAATAGTTATGACAGAGAAGGTGTAGCCTATGATGCCTCAAATACTTACTATCTGGCCCTTTATAGAAAAAGGTTTCTAATTCCTGGTCTAAAGATAAAGGTAAGATACAAAAAGGTTCTGGCCAGGCAACGTGACTCATGCTGTAATCCCAGCACTTTGGGAGGCCAATGCAGGAAGACTGCTTGAGCCCAGGAGTTCAAGGCTGCAGTGAGTCATGACTGAACCACCGCACTCCAGCCTGGGTGATGGAGCAAAACCCCGTCTCTATGGAAAAAAAAAAAAAGTTTTTTGATTCTGATAGAAGAATTCCAAATTATAATTTGGCAATAATACTGTAGCATATAGCCCATATATCATAAGTGTAATTTCTCAAAGACTTGCCTACTGAGGCATACAAGCAAATATATAAGCCAATTTTCAGAGGTAAAAATTTAGTCACCACTAACTTTGAAATACTGTTTCATTCTAGAAATTAGCTGGTGAAAAAAAATCAAACATGAAGATTGCAGTTTTGTTTTGTTTTTTTCTGCTTATCATTTTTCAAACTGACTTTGGACAAAATGAAGAAATTCCTAGGAAGCAAAGGAGGAAGATCTATCACAGAAGGCTGAGGAAAAGTTCAACCTCATACAAGCACAGATCAAACAGACAGCTTGGAACTCCGCAAACAACAATTTTTACACCAGTAGCAAGATTTCCTGTTGTTAACTTTGATTATGGCATGGAGGAAAAGTTTGAATCTTTTTCAAGTTTTCCTGGAGTAGAATCAAGTTATAATGTGTTACCAGGTAAGAGAACAATATAAGAGAGAGACAGAAGGAGGGAGGAGGGTGAGAGATGGTATGGATAAAGAGAAGGAGAGAGGGAGAACATCTCCATGAAGATAATCTTCTAAAGAAAAATCCAGGTTATTATATTACTTTTTGGTTTAATCTACAAACATACATTTTAAAATAATTTTTAAAAAATGGGGCCAGGTGCGGTGGCTCACACCTGTAATCCCAGCACTTTGGGAGGCTGAGGTGGGCAGATTACGAGGTCAGGAGTTTGAGACCAGCCTGGCCAACATGGTGAAACCCCGTCTCTACTAAAAATACAAAAAATTAGCTGGGTGTGGTGGCATGTGCCTGTAATCCCAGCTACTTGGGAGGCTGAGGCAGGAGAATCACTTGAACCTGGGAGGCGGAGGTTACAGTGAGCAGACATAATGCTACTGCACTCCAGCCTGGGCGACAGAGCAAGACTCTGTCTCAAGATTGAAAACAAAACAAAACAAAACACCCCCAAAAAACCAAAAGCAGCTTAAGGAACATATTTATAATACAAAATTATTAGACAAAAGTTACTTATCCTACCACTATATTTACAAAATCATAGTTATAATTTTGGTTTATTTCTTTCCAGTATGTTTACTATGCATATATTTTAAATAGTTGTAATCCTAACATAGATAACATACATAAACATTTATAAACTGCTTTTCCATTTATAACAATAGATCATCTAGAATACAGAAATAAATTATTCAGATGATTCTGTGAACATATGGCTATTACATATTTTCAACCAAAAATTTTCAACCACAAATAGAATTAAAGCCACCGAATTCATTTTATATAGGTTAAGCCACTGGCATTTAAAAGATTTAAGTGACTAAAAATTCTGCTAAAGATTTCAATTAGGCATTTTTAAAAACTAGTATTAAATGGTTTACATTTTTCCAAATTTGGAAGAAAAAAGTATTATAGGCATGTTACCATTAAATAAAACTTTCAAAAGAATAACAGAAAATATCACCATATGATGTTCTGTGGCCAGTATTTCATATATTGTCTCAATACAGCTAAATGCTTCTTCATTAGTTATTTCCATGAATTTAACAGAAATAATATACAATTATCCTGAAAATAGGCAATTTAAGCCACACTTACAACATGATTGGGAAAAGAAAGGAAGAGAAATCAACTTAAAAAAATTGTAATAATGATGTACTCACAACTGCTAAAGAATGATGAGGTCAATATTTTTAGTTAAGTGGAAAGATAGCTAAGCTATAATAATGGAAAACAAAAAAGAAGTATTCATAACGTGATCTCAAACTTGTGTAAAAAAAAGTTTTTATATGTAAGCATATATGCATAAAAGTACAGAAGATATATACTAAGCATTTCCAAATTGTCCAAAAATATTTTCCAGTGATTTTACAGTACTTTTTGATTGTATCACCACACATAACACAAAATTTACCATTTCATCCATTTTAAAGTGTACAATTCAATAGCATTTAGCACAGTCACAATATTGTGCAACCATCACTACTATCTTGTTTCTGAACATTTTCATCCCACCAAAAGGAAACTCTGTACCTAAACTCCTCATTTCTCCCCACTCCCAGCCCTTGGCAACCACTAATCTATTCTGTGTCTATGAATTTGCCTATTCTGGAAATTTCATGTAAATGGAATCACATAATATGTAGCCTTGTGTATCTAACTTCTTTACTTAGTATAATGTTTTTAAAGTTCATCTATAGTTAGCCTGTATCAGAACTTCATTCCTTTTTATGGCTGAATAATATTCCATTGTATGGCTATACCATATTTGTTTATCCATATTGCTTATCAGTTGATGAACATCTGGGCTGTTTCCACCTTTTGGCTATCATGAATAGCACAGCTATGAGCATTAATGTAAGTTTTATTTCAACACCTATTTTCAATTCTTTTGGGTATATACTTAGGAGGGGAACGTTGGGCCATTTGGTAATTCTATATTTAATTTATTGATGAACTGCCAAATGTTTTCCAAAGTGGCTACACTGTTATATATCCACCAGCAATGGAAGAGGATTCCACTTTCTCTACATTCCTGCCAACAACTATTTATTTTTAATTATAGCTGTTCTTTTATGAAGTGGTATCTCACTGTGGTTTTGATTTGCATTTCCCTAACAACTAATGATGTTAAGCATCTTTTTATGTGCATGTTGTCTATCTGCATATTCAACTCCTATGCCTACTTCTTTCTTAAGAGATGGGGTCTTGCTCTGCTGCCCAGGCTGGAATACAGTGGTACAATCATAGCTCACTGCAGTCTTGAACTCCTGGGCTTCAGTGATCCTCTGCCTCAGCTTCCCAAGTAGCTGGGACTACAAGAATGCACCACCGCACCTGGCTAACTTTTTAACTTTTTTTGTAGAGACAGCATCCCATTATGTTGTCCAGGCTGGTGTCAAATTCCTGGCCTCAAGAAATCTTCCCTCCTTGGCCTCCCAAAGTGCTGGAATTACAGGCGAGAGCCACTGTATTGGGCAAGTTTTGCCCATTTTTTAATTGCATTGCCTTTCTGTAATTCAGTTATAAGAGTTCTTTATGAATATTCTAGATATCAGGACCTTATCAGATATATGATTTCACATATTTTCTCCCATTGTGTATACTGTCTTTTCACTTTCTTAACAATGTCCTTTGATGCACCAAACTTTTAATTTTGATAAAGTCTAATTTATCTTTTTCTTTAGGTGTCATATCTAAGAATCCACTGCCAAATATGAGGTTATAAAGATTTACCCCTATGGATTTTTCTAAGAGTGTTGTAGTCTTACCTCTTATATTTAGAGCAAAGGTCTAAATATAAGATACATTAGGTCTTTGATCCATTTTGAGCTAATGTTTGTATTTGGTGAAAGGCAGGGATTCAGCTTCATTCTTTTGCTGGTGTTGTCCCAGCACCAGTTGTTGAAGATTGTTCTTTCCTCCACTGAATGGTCTTGACACCTTTCTTGAAAATCAGTTGTTCACAGATGTATGTCCGACTTTCAATGTTCCACTGGCCTATATGTCTATCCTTATACTAGTATCACACTGACAAAAGCTGATTATTGTGTCTTTGTAGTGAGCGTTTTGAAATCTGGAAGTGTGAGATCTCCAACTTTGTTCTTTTTTCTCAAGATTGCTTTGGTTATTTGGGATCCCCTATAGTTCCAAATGAATTTAAGGATCCGCTTTTCCATTTCTGCAAAAAAAATGGCCATGGACATTTTGATAGCGTGCTTTTGATAACCCGGAAGAAACTCATATGTGTATTTTTGTTCAGAGGAGCAACTGGGTAGGTGGGATTAGCCTATTGCAAGTATCCAAATGAGAGATGGGTAGGGCCTGAATTGGGCTGAGTTAGTGGTCGGGGAAAAAAGGAGACTAACGTTGAGAGGCTCATTTGGGGGTGGAACTTGGGGATAGTGGCTCAGATGGAGGAAAGTTATTTGGAATGACACCTGGATTGGAAGAAAAACATCCCCCCTAATATTCTCCTCAGCTTTCTAACGGTCTGCTTAGCTGATACACTTATCCACATATCTGCAATCTTGTATGTAGGAAAATGAATATATGCACTGCATCATGCACTTTATTTGTTTATTTATTTATTTAGAGACAGAGTCTTGCTCTGTCGCCCAGGGTGGAGTGCAGTGGAACGATCTTGGCTCACTGCAACCTTCACCTCCTGGGTTCAAGTGATTCTCATGCCTCAGCTTTTAGAGATGGGGTTTCACCATGTTGCCCAGGCTGGTCTCAAACTCTTGGTCTCAAGTGATCCACCCGCCTCAGCCTCCCAAAGTGGTGGGATTACAGGCATGAGCCACCGCGCCCAGACAGTATTATACACTTTAAAAGGGTGAATATTATAGTATGTGAATATTTCAATAGCATAATAGACCATAAAAAAGATAGCTCAGTGTCTCACTGAGAAGCACCATAGAAGCATGCTGTCTGGTTTCACCTATTCCCATGTGCACATCAAGGGTGGGCTGTGAGCTTGTCATTAGTGCTAGCTCAGCTCTCCGATCACATGATGGAACTGGATTGGCTGGTGGCTTTGGAAGTTTGGTGTGGCCGTACAATTTGCATTGGTCAGTGTAATTAGACACTTTTAGAGTTCAAGTGTGATTTGTAACCTCACATTCCCACTATCGCAGTGATCGGGACAGCCTACTTATAGATGAATCCTGAGTGAATATGATGAGCTGAGCCCCTGTGTCCCCACATTAGACACAAAGTATAAATGAAAAATAACTGAGATTTGGGGATTGTTTGTTGCTGTTGTATAATTTAATCTACCCTGATGGATACAAAATGGAAGCGCAGTTCAGCCCCAAGTTACCATGAGGGAGTTCACTCTTAGAGCCTAAGTGAAGGGGCTGAGAGGAGAGCCTGTGAAAAGCATTTCAGCATTTCTTGCCTATATGACATTTTTACCCTACACATGAATGCACATAGAATTCTACTCTTGTGTGGTCAGAGCAGTCTGACTTCACATTGTGTTTACTTCCATTCACAGTTGCTGGTAACCACATAAGAAATTTAAATTTGTGCTTTTGTTTTCTTCTAGGAAAGAAGGGGCACTGTTTGGTAAAGGGCATAACCATGTACAACAAAGCTGTGTGGTCCCCTGAGCCCTGCACTACCTGCCTCTGCTCAGATGGAAGAGTGCTTTGTGATGAAACCATGTGCCATCCCCAGAGGTGCCCCCAGACAGTTATACCTGAAGGGGAATGCTGCCCTGTCTGCTCTGCTACTGGTATAGAGATTTAGCTAAGCAAAATATCAGTGTGTGATTGATCTGTAACTTCCATTTGTTTTTGTTACTAATTTTAGATTAAAATTATGATACGTTAGTCATCTGAGTACTTAAAATATTGGCAGAATGTTGATTAACATAGAAAATATCTGGGAAAATGCATGGTAGGGGATATAAATAATAGACTGTGGCTTTATAGTTCTAGCTCTATCAGATTCAGTAAACTTGGATGAGATTACATTCCACATTTGACTCTCAGCTTTAGAGGTACGGTAAGAGAATTTCTACAACTAACAGACCCTGAATTCTTACTGAGTTAAGGGCTCTGCTTTGGTCTATGTGTGCATTATCCCACTTAATCCACCCCAACATGGCTTTATCACCGTGAAGCCAGGGTAAACAAAGGAAGAGTGATTTGCATCTAAAGAGAATAAAGCCCCAGCCCTCTGGCTATACCCAGCCACTCAAAGGCAGCACAGGAACCCACATCGCTGCTTGGATAATCCCAGGAAAATGCAGAAGTGTAGCCTGAAGCATGATTTTCTCATGTGGCCATTCTGTGTGCAGGAGATCACAGCATGGGTTTTGTTGGCTGCTCATGGACCCCTTCTCCAATGAGGCTCATACCTGACTGAATGAAGGACCCTTCCCGGGAGGCCCAGTCTCCTCTGAGAAAAGCCTAACCAACACCTTATGAAAATAAGCAAATAAATACTTGTTAAATACTTGGCTGGGAAGGGATAGGGACATCTTCTCTTGTCTATAACCGAGGTAGATTGCTCCCATGCACACAGATGATCACAGGGTAGGTGTCTACAAAAGTCTCCTGCCAGGAAAAACTTTTGACGTTTTAGAAATTGTGTTTTGCTTTATACTACCAAATATTTCACTAACGTTTAAAGAGAGTTGGGAAAAAAGTGTTCAATGAAACGGATTCCTTGGAGTGAAATAAATACAAGGTTTACAAAGTAAGAGTCACAAATTCTCAGACATTTTTTCAAAAGGCTTGGAGTATTCTTGAAATGTAGTTATTTTGGAAAAATAAACTTGGATATACAGGAAGGATTTTAAATGTTTCAATATGATAGCTTTAGTTTCCTTTTACTAACTTTTTCCTATTCTCCTTCTGCATGTTTTGCTAGAGATGTGAAAAAACTCAGAGACTTTATAATACATACTGAATTGATATCTCAAGTAATTTCTCCAAATAATTATATTTCCTGAGTTCTTTTCGGGAGTAGTTTATATATAGTATTAAATAAGAGTAGGCAGATGATTAAGTAAATTTATAAATCTTGATGAAAGAAAATGTATGCACCTTGGCTGGGTACGGTAGTTCACACCTGTAATCCCAGCACTTGGGGAGGCTGAGGCGGGAGGATCACAATGGGTCACGTGTTCGAGACCAGCCTAGTCAACACGGTGAAACCCCATCTCTACTAAAAATACAAAAATTAGCCTGGCATAGTGGCGGGGTGCCTGTAATCCCAGCTACTTGGGAGGCTGAGGCAGGAGAATCGCTTGAACCCGGGAGACAGAGGGTGAAGTGAGCCGAGATCATGCCACTGCATTCCAGCCTGGGCGACAGAGCAAGACTCTGTCTCAGGGAAAAAAAAAAAAAATTTATGCACTGTGAAATCAGTTCTTCCTAGAACTGTTTACTCAGAGAGTGAATTTGAATCTAGTCTTTGTCTTGTCTTCCCCACTTTCTGCCAAAGATTTAACAGCTGAATATAAATGTAGATTCACTGTCTGCTATCATTTATTCTACTCCCACCGTCATGGAAGGATAAACAGCACTCCTGTGCATATGTCTAAGTTAAAGCAATATCACTGAAGTCCAGAATGTCATTTGTAGGTCTCAGGTAGTAAAGACGATTTAAGTATAGAATCTGGGAGAGAGAAGGAGGACAACTTTCTCTCTATAACCCCGAATTTCAGAGGATGACACTAGGATGCCAGGGACAAAAATAGTGACAAATCTATAACAAAAGTTGGTTTCACTGCTATAAGCAAGTAAAATATACACCTGTTTCACTTTTTTAATGTCTGGTAAACAGTCTACAAATTCTCACATTAGCAATAGCCCTAGTGAACAGAACAGTATCTATTATAAAGGTATCACATCTGATTATAACACAATCTCACAACAGGATTGCTTACCATTTTGCCTCATGTGGCAATATTATTCCCTCCTTAGTCACCAGGTAGCATGATATGTTAGCAAAAATAAGCATTAAGTTATTTAATATAAAAATTAGTATTAAGGTCCACAGGTGAAAAAAATGTAAGAGATCTTACAAAATAGAAATAAAGTGACTATTAAAACTTCTTAAGCAAAAATTTCAAGGTGCATTTCATCTTTAAATTGCACTCAAATACTTGGAGGGAATAATATTTACTAATCTCATTTTTGTTATGATTTTTTCTTTTATTAATATCATCAACTTATCTCTGCTACCTCATCCTTGCGTGGTCATTAGTCTCCTATTCTCTACTCAGTGGTATAGCATTAAATGATAGAAATGAATTTTCTGGTGATTCTTCAGAACAAAGAGAACCTACCAATTTACTTCATAAGCAACTGCCACCTCCTCAGGTGGGAATGGACCAAATAGTAAGAAAAGAAGCACTTCAATCTGAGGAGGATGAAGCAATGAAAAAAGATACAGAGCAAAAGACAGAGACCCCTGAATCTAGAAATCAGAGGCAACTTTACAGTGAGGGGGACAGCAGAGGAGGAGACAGAAAGCAGAGGCCTGGAGAGGAGAGGAGGCTGGCACACCAGCAGCAACGCCAAGGAAGGGAGGAGAAGGAGGAGGATGAGGAGGAGGAGGGTGAGGAGGATGAGGAGGAGGAGGGTGAGGAGGATGAGGAGGAGGAGGAAGACGAGGAGGACCCGGTAAGAGGAGATACGTTCCGAATGCCCTCTCGATCCCCACTTCCTGCTCCTCCCAGAGGCACACTGCGCCTGCCAAGTGGGTGCTCTCTGTCCTACAGGACCATCAGCTGCATCAGCGCCATGCTCACCCAGATACCACCACTCACAGCACCACAGATAACAAGTCTGGAGCTCACTGGTAAGAGATGTTCACTTCTGCTTTATTTTGTGCTTTAGAAGTAAATGACTCTTAGCAGCCGGGCATGGTGGCTCATGCCTGTAATCTCAGCACTTTGAGAGGCTGAGGTGGCCAGATTACCTGAGGTCAGGAGTTCGAGACCAGCCTGGACAACATGGCGAAACCCCATCTCTACCAAAAATACAAAAATTAGCTGGGTGTGGTAGGGCATGCATGTAATCCCAGCTCCTCAGAAGGCTGAGGCAGGAGAATCGTTTGAATCCAGGAGGCGGAGGTTGCAGTGAGCTGAGATTGAGCCACTGTACTCCAGCCTGGGCAATTGAGCAAGACTTCATCTCAAAAAAAAAAAAAAAGTAAATGACTCTTAGGCAAGTGCAGTTGTATACACCTGTAGTCCCAGCTACTCAGGAGGTTGAGGTGGGGGAATGGCTTTAGCCCAGTAGTTTGAGACCAGTCTAGGCAACAGAGTGAGACCCTGTCTCTTAAAAAAAAAAAAAAAAAATGAACGATTCTCATTGCTCTATGAAGATTATATTTTAATTTCATCCTAAAAATTGATCCTGAATAGACTAATTTCATAATCTTCAAATATATAAACTTTGCAGAAGAGATAGCTATTTACTGCAGAATAGCAGTCAGGTATAAAGCAAACTCCTCCAAATCAAATGATGATTTCCTACTGATGTTTCTTAAAAATCAGCTTTCATGAGGTATAATTTGTATGTAGTAAAACTTATTTTTAGTACATAAGTTCTGAGTTTTGACAAATGCACATAGTCACGTAGCCACCACCAAAAGTAAGATATAGGACATTCTATCACTCCCCAGAATTCCTTGTTTCCCCCTCCAGCAGTCACTGGCCACCAAAGAACACTGATCTGTTTTCTGTCTCTACAGTTTTGCCTTTTCCAGAGTGTTACATAAATGGAATCATACAATACATAGCCCTTTCAGTCTGGTTTCTAATGTTTCTGAGAGCCACGCATTTTGTTTAGTGTATCAGTAGTTCATTCCTCTCTTCTGCCAAGTAGTGTTCCATCATGTGGATGGGCCATGGTTTCCTACCAGGTATACGTCATCTGAGTTGTTTCCAGTTTGGGGTGATTATGTATAACGTTGCTATAAACATCCATGTACAAATGTTTGTGTGGACCTAAGTCTTCATTTCTCTAGGGCAATGCCCAGGAGTGGGACTGCTGATATGGTAAATACATGTTTAAGTTTATAAGAAACTGCCCGATAGTTCTCTAAGGTGGCTGCTCCTTTCCCACCTGCATTCTGGGGAGCTCCTGCCTCTCTGCAGCCTGCCAGCACTTGGTACTGTCAGTTGCTTTTTCCCCTCGTTTTTGACATTCTAGTGGGAATGTGGTCATCTAGACCTTTTGCCCATGTTTCCATCGGACCACCAGGGAGGGCTCTGAGTAGAAGAACAGCAGGACCAGGTGTGACAGGCTGGCTGGTGGGGACACTTTGGGTGCTGGGAACAGCAGGAGCCTTCGTCTGGGTAATGAGGCCCCTACGCCAGGGGTGGCTCTGGAGATGCTGGGGTGAGGGGAGCTGAAAAGGTCAACACATTTGTGCAGGGATGGCCATTTGTGACAGCACACTGCCAGTGTCAAACATAATAGAAGCTTCCGTGGCCTTTCTGACAAAGGATTTCATCCTACTTTTATATGATCACCTAAGGAATTCCTCTCATGCTCAGCAACGCCCCTTCCTCCTGTGGCCTGTGCACCAGGTATGCTCTGCCCTAAGAAAACCCAATCTGTGAAAGTCTGAAGTCTTGGAAAAGATAAATGACCCACACTGAGCTACACTGTTACGGTTTTATAAGAAGGTCACCACGTGACTTTTATGGTATGTACTATTGGTACGCTCACTTTCTGGGTTTAAAAATCGACTACTGAACTTAACTAAATGTTAAAACAAAAACCCATAAAATTAGGGCATATAGGCACCTTTACAGATTGAAGCCATAGAGGCATAACATTAGATGTCAGAGAGTCTTGGAGATGATCTCCCCCAGCTTCGTATGCAGAGATGGAGACAGGCTCAGAGGAGGTGAGTGATTTGCATGAGAATTCATGGACAAAAACAGAGGCATGCTTCTAGTCCAAGAAAATGGCTATGGGAGAATATGAAGACTAAAAATCAGTTTCTGTATAACCTTCCACACCTTTGTTATAAATGTACAATGTTACCAGTACTCTCCAGCAGACCACATTCTGGCTGTGTTAAGCACCTTCATCTAAACCATGGTATACTTACAGCCTGATGAATCCTTAGAGAGAAAATGTCAACTATGTTAAACTATCTATTTCCAGCCTGTTACTTTTCTGAACATACTTTGGTTATATAATATATATTCTGTCCTTGTTCTCAGTATTGCTTTCTCCTCCAGACAAAGCTCTCTCTTGAAATCTATGCACACACGCCCATACATGTGTGTACATGTATGTATATGCACACATGCCTAAAACATAACCGCTGTATGTCCTAGGCAATTCCATCGCCTCCATCCCAGATGAAGCATTTAATGGATTACCAAATTTGGAAAGGCTTGATCTGAGCAAAAATAATATCACTTCTCCAGGCATAGGTCCAAAAGCATTCAAGGTAAATACATGCTCTGATTTGTCTATTTGGACGAATGGCTTCACTATGACTTGCACTGGTTGGAGATGGGGAAGGGAGGAAAAGGAAAATGCTTCTAATTGGTAGTTTTCTTCTAAGAAAGTTTCCTCTCTGATGTTCCTAAACTGCATTCAAGTTTTCTCTTGAATATAGTTTATTATTTTACATACTTTTAGCTTTGCCATAAGGGCACCAACAATAGCATTAGTGACAAAACTAATGATTTTAATTTATGGAGTAGTTTCTCCCCAAGTAACTGAAAACATGCTAAAATCTGGTCTCTTAGCATATGAAGTATTTTCTGGAAATAAATTGAGCCTATCTGGAAACTCTATTAACATTTTTCAGGCCAGCAAGACACGGCTTCCTTTTTTTGTTTGTTTTGCTTCGTGCAATGAACAAAACCTGATGGAGGATACTTTGGCAGAAGGGGGTTCTGGAAAAACAGATAGGCTCAAATAAAAACTAGGGATAGCTTGGAAAAGAAGAGGGAAAGAGAGAGAACAGGAAACAGCATAGAATAAACCTTTGAAAGATACAGATTGAACTAATTTTATTTATACATATATATATATATAAACGGGCCGGGCGCAGTGGCTCATACCTGTAATCCCAGCACTTTGGGAGGCTGAGATGGGTGGATCACGAAGTCAGGAGTTTGAGACCAGCCTGGCCAACATGGTGAAACCCCGTCTCTACTAAAAATACAAAATTTAGCCGAGTGTGGTGGCATGCGCCTGTAGTCCCAGCTACTCGGGAGTCTGAGGCAGGAGAATTGCTTGAATTCGAGAGGCAGAGGTTGCAGTGGGCCGAGATTGCGCCATTGCACTCCAGCCTGGGCGACAGAGGCAGACTCTGTCTCAAAAAACAAAAAGGAGGAAAGAAGACAGAATTCAAGGAATTTAAGAGTTCAGAGAGAAGGGGTTTATGTTTGTTAAAAACAAAAGCAAAACAAAAAACTCATAAATGTGTGTGTTTGAAAAGCCATAAGTAAAGCACATTATATTCTACTAGGTGAAACTGTTCCTCCCTTGGGCCATCTTCTGGGTCTTCCACCCACTCTTCAGACAAATCACTGGCCTCTTATATTCTCAGTTCCTGTTTCTTATCTGGAGTCTGGGCTGGCAGATAAGAGGGTTCCACATTCACATCCTAGATCTACTTCGTGCTATCCATCCTTCTCCTAGAAAATGGCTAGCACTGGGGGGTCCTTCCCCTATATTTGACCAAGAGAAAAACATTGTAGGAGATTACCTCCTTTTCTTGCTTTGGAATTCTCTGTCCCATTCCGAAACTGTTGAAATTTGAATATGATCACTGGAGAGGTGAATCATTCCATGGGACTTTACTAAAATCTACCTAACCACAGTTCCCCACTTTTGGTGGTAGAGGGTAGGTTTGACCAATGAACACACAACTACAAATGTGAAAAGATACTTTCCCAGACAGTCAACTGGATGCCATAGAGGAATAGCTTGTAACATCTGTAGTCCTTAGTTTTGAAAAATTTCCACAGTAATTAGTGTCATTTTATGACCTTTCTGGAGTAGATAAAAAACTGAGGTTTACAAGTATGTTAAAAGGACTGATTGCTATCTTAATTGTTAGCATCCATGACAGCTTCAGATTACTGCATGATTTCATGAAATTTCTGTGTATTGCTGAAAAAGTGGAAACCTAAGATCTAGCAAGAACGACCAATCCAGTAGTTATGGCAGCTTTCTCTCACTTTCTAAAAAGCTGCAGTATAAACATGGTGAGTAAGCTACAAAATAATCAAATGTAGTCTGTTGAAAATCCCTGAGAATCAAATCTACTACCAGCATCAATATCAACCTGGCAGGGGGAATATGGGGTTTGCTGTGTGGCCTGGATATTACTGTCTAAGCCTAAGGAAAGATAGTTTGTGAGACTTTCAGTCAGTGCTTCAAAACGACCCTCATGTGAAATGTGACTGCACAGCTGTGACTAGATAAAAAAGTAACTTTGAGATTTGCTTTTTAAGCTTCTGAAGAAGTTAACGCGTTTGAATATGGATGGAAATAATTTGATACAGATTCCTTCAGAATTGCCATCTACATTAGAAGAACTTAAAATCAATGAGAACAATCTTCAGGCTATTGATAAAGAAAGTTTATCAGGTATTTAATATTTGTTTTTCAATGATATGCTTCCTTATAATCTTTCTTATATAGTGGTGTAGAAATTTTATTTACAGTATTGCCAAATGAATAAATAGTAAATATTTTTAGGTCACTTAACCATTTGAGTTGTTAAAACTTCTTTTAACTATTAACTGGTAAAACGTAAAATGAATTTTAAATTACCTGTTATCTTTGTACCTTACCCATGAATAACATTGTTTCTCAATGATTCCAGGTTCTTATTATTCACAAGACAATAAATTTACTACAAATCCAAAATATCTGAAGAATTATACTATATATTCCCCACAACGCCATGCGTTTTGCATTCTGGATCGACAATTTTGTCGGTTCTTCGAAGTGACTAACTAGTGCCATGGCTTGTTGACTGGATCTCCTTTATCACTCTGATGGTCAATACACCCCACCCACAACTCTTGCTGCCTCCATACAACTTGCTATTTTCATTTATCATGGGTTGGAACCTAAAGACGAAACTAAGCACATGGGAATTAGGCATGAAATATGAATAAATGGGCACTGCATACGAGGCTGAGATGCTGTCCTACAAAGAAAGCACATGCTCTTCATGGTGTTAACTTTGGCTTTGGCAATTTTGTCCTGAGAGGGCTTGGGCTGGAACTTCTGTACTCGTATGGCACTGAAGTCCTGCTGACTCCACACCCCACGGCATGTGGATGCACGGCTCCCACTGTGGCCTAGCTTTCCGACAGCCTTTAGTGAGGGTGCCCTACATTCTGTGCACTTGACATTGCTGGCACTGGCTCCTCTTCTGCTTGTTTCTGGACTGTGCTAGATAGCTGAAGATATCATATGTGACTCTGTATAAAAGAGGCTTTATCACATTTTACTTTTCATGAATTCTAGCTAATGCCTTTGATTGTACTGTGTACTTTTTTGAGACGAGGACTGCCTACCTTTTCTTTTTATCTTCCTAATAGTCTAGCATAGCTCTTGAGGTCAGTGCTCAACACTGTTTACTTGCTTTGAAACATATTATGTTTTTATTCATTAAGTTATTTATTAAACAAAGCCTTTAAAGGAATGAAACAATCCAATTGTTTCCTGTAGGTCCCAAAAAACTTCACAGGAACAAAACACTTCTGGTATTGAGAAAAGAACAATAATAATGAGAATTGCCAAATCTGAGGATTAGTTATGGAAATACTCAATTTCCAGATGGATTTCAGGACACACAGAAAAACATTAATAAACACAAATTTTGATGGAGAGTGCCAAATGGGAAAGACATTAGAAAATTCAATTTCTAACTGCTGAAGACCAAAGGGTGTCAGCAATCTAGAACAACTGTACTAACAGGCTGTATATGAACTACAAGTCAAACATTTTTAGTTGGGTTATCAGAATGAGGTGTTATAAAACATGCACTCCTGATTGTGAAGGTGCTTTCACACACCCCTGGAACTGCCTTAAAGAGTACTCTTCTCCCTCACTCACAAATGCTTCTAGATTCCCAGAGTGTTGACAGGAAGTCAGGGTGAGTGGGCTGTCTGCCTGCCTTTCTTAGCCCGCCTTTCTCCACAGTCTGAGCACCGAGGAGCCTCGGCTCCATGCCGGCAATGCTTTCTGTCCTCCGGCCCAGATACCCCTGCTCCACTCCCTGGGTGGGCTGAGTTCTAAGAGCTACTGCTGTGCCGGTCCCTCGGGTGCTGGGCTCCCCTTGGCTGGGAGTCCTGATGCTGTGGATGGTCAGGCTGGCTGCCAGGAATGCTATGAGGCCACCCTGCTTCTGTGTGGAAGCAGGTGGCCCACTGCTCTTCTGTCATCTCTCTTGGGGTGGCTCCTCACTCATGACCTTTCAGATTATAGCTCCAGAGAGGGGGAAGGAGGGCACGCCAGGGAGAGAAAACAGCACAAAGGTGCAAATAAATGAGACAATTTGCGATACTGCGGGACCTGCAAGCAGGCACAGTGAAGGTGAAGGGCAGGCAATGAGCAACACCAGGGGCTGCACACACCTTGCTGAAGGGCAGGGAATTTACCTGCAGGAGGAGCAGAGTCCACCTGAGATGTGCACATGTGTTATGGAGAAAGGGAAGGACTTAAAATTGAGAGAGAGGTGTGAAAGGTGGAGGGAGGGACAGCAGAGGAAAACCAGGCATGCTTTAAAAGCATTTTTGTTGTCACTAATGACTGAAACAACCAAACTAGGAGCCCTGGAGGTTGCTCTAGTGGATGACCATGTGATGCTGCCTGCCAGGAACATCGAGGCACCGGCCATGTCCACAACCTGTCATGGTACCACCCACCAAGGAAGACTTCCTGTTTCCTGTCCATGAATCCTTTCAACATCTACCTCAAGTCTCACCTACAAGAAACACTCTCTAGCACCACCCTATTTCCTGTTACCTCCTATTTCCTATATATACCAGAGAATAACTGCAAAAGAAAACAGTGTCCTGAATTTGTACCGTTTCTCTCTTTTTCTCTCAGTCATGTAATGGCCATTAGTTCATTTCTGTTACCTGTTTTTCAAGGAAAAACTTCCACTGCATTTCAAAACTTCACCTATTTACTAGAGAAAGACGTCAGATTCTCAGTACCTTTAGTTTTGGAAATGAAAGTGAATATGAGGAAATATAACCACTTATCACAATTTACTGGCTGGCCTGGCTACTTCCTGTTGCTCAGCACTTCCATTAATCCTAAGGACCACCACCAGGTTAACCTCTTGCTGCCTTGAGAATGAGAGCCAGACGTTGTTGTCCAGGGTGCAAAGGCCCTCCCAGAATTAGCTGGGTGTGGTGGTGGGTGCCTGCAATCAGCTACTTGGGAGACTGAGGCAGAAGAATCGCTTGAACCTGGGAGGTGGAGGTTGCAGTGAGCCAAGACCATGCTATTGCACTCCAGCTTGGGCGACAGAGCGACACTCTGTCTCTAAATAAATTAAAATAAAATAAACTAAAAAAGGGCCCTCCCAGTATATTTCTCTCTGAACACCAACCTTCACTCCACTGTGCACAGCCACACCAGGGCTAGTCTCCTCTCCCCCTGAACAAACCCACATGGTCTTTCAGCTACATGTGCTCAGCTGGCTATTACAGCCTGGAAGTTCCTCCTACTTCTATCTAAATCTTTCTGTCTGTAGGAGACTGGCACTTTCATACCACTCACATCTACACTGCTTTTTCTTCTTATAATCTTCCAGCATTTATTATTTCTATTCTTCATGCAACTGTCTTTGCTGTTGCCTAAGAACAGAACTGAGTCCCACGTGGCATTCGGTGCAATGCCCATGAAGGGGGCTGAATACAAAACATCCCCTAATCTGGGAATTTTGGCCACACCCTGAACCTCTGATTCAGATGCCTCTGGGTATTGTCATTGCTGAGCTGTCCATTTTGCAGCATGGAGCTTCCATTTGACCTGGATCATACCACTCCTGAGACTAGTAGAAACAAAGTAGAAAAAAAACTTGTTTGTATAAAGGCCTTTCTTGCTAGTTCAATCTGAATGTGTGGAGAATTTTTGATCATCATTCTTTCAAAGCTTCCATTTGGCTGCACTCTGTGCCAACAAGTGAGTAACTATGATGGGAATTCACTGCTCTGGTTTACTTCTGACTCCCTTGTTCAGAGACTGAGGGTGAGCCAGGGAAAGTGTTCTTTTTTGTGTCCTGGAAAAAAAAAATCACTCATTGCATTAAACTTCCACCACCCCATTGCCTATTATGCTGCCATTTCATATATCTATGTCTTTGCAATGTTTCCAATGACTGTCCATAACTTTCTATTCCTTTCCTATCTGAATTCCAAATCCCTGTTCAGCCACCACAATTTCTATGGAAACTCCTCTGCCTCTCTTTCCTATCTTCCTCCCTCTCTTCTCTCTTGCTTCTGTTCCTTACACATATTGTTAGCACCTAGCATTTCAATGATTTTTTTCGGGTCTGCCTCACTACTGGACCATGCATTTAGTGCTGGTTGAATTGAGCATCTGGGATGTACAAAGTACTTAAGAAAAGACTTTATAGGAGGAAACAAAGGTTTTAAAAAAAACTGTATTTGCCCTGCAAATAAACTGGCCATTTCACATAACATTTCAAAAGTCTACAAAAATCTGCCTGGTTTTTCAATTATCCTAATATTCTAATACTTTTATTTTTTATAGACTTATATCAACTGGTCACCTTAGAACTTGAAGGAAATAATCTCAGTGAAGTCAATGTCAATCCTTTAGCTTTCAAACCTTTGAAGAGCCTAGCCTATTTGCGTCTGGGAAAAAATAAATTTAGAATTATACCACAGGGTCTTCCTGCTTCTATTGAGGTAACAATATATTTCTTTTAATATTTTAAATGTATTATATTTTAAATGTGGTATACAACAAAATATATTTTAAGACTATTGTGATGTAAATTAACCTCTAGTTTCATGCTGTATGCAGAATTTCCTATAATTTAAGCATTGTTTTTTCTTCAAGCAATACAAAATTCTGAATCGAAATTATAATTACTAGTCGAGACACCTGATAAAGTGAAAAATGGTACTTCTGACAGCTCTTGGGGGAAATGGGAGAAAGGAATTGAGAATTTAAATGAAACCACAACTTCTATGAGGTACTCTGCCTCTCGAGACAGTGTATACTGTCCCAATCCAGAAATGTGACGCTTATCACAGAAGCTCATACAGGTATTAACCATAACAGAGTGTCCACTGACAAATTCCAGGCAAAATCACAGACACTCTGACCTAACAGTAACTGCATGGATACAAGTGTTGTACAAAGAAGGCCTCTGACTGTTCCAGCAACTCTGTAGCTTGCAAGTTTTGACCCAATTCCTACCAAAACTGTCCTGTGACTAACTCCAGGCCCCAAACTCCAGTCTTGCTTTATTATCCTGTAGAGATGCCCCAGAGGTCCCCAGATGTGCGGTCTCCTTGCTGCAGGATGTGCTCCAGAGGGTCTTTGGCTGATGAATGTCAACACCCCTCATTTCCTGCATTAAAAACACTGAGGTGGACCGTGCAGTGGCTCACACCAGTAATACCAGCACTCTGGGAGGCAGGAAGATGGCTTGAGGCCAGGAGTTTGAGAGTAGTCTGGGCAACATACTGAGGTCCTGTCTCTAAAAAGTATATTTTTTAAAAAACTAGCCAGGCATGGTGGTGCACACCTGTAGTCGTAGCTGCTCAGGAGGCTGAGGTGGAGGATCACTTGAGCCCAGGAGTTTGAGGCTGCAGTAAGCTAGGATCGTACCACTGCACTCCAGCCTGGGCAACACAGAGAGACTCTGTCTCTACAAACCACACCCCACCCCGCCTGCCAAAAAGAACACTGAGGTCCAGAGAGTCTATACATACTGGCAGACCCTGTGGGAACACAGGTTTTCTTACTAAGCTGTTTCTCCTACACCACATGATCATCCAGCCAGAAGTCAGGATGCAGCATCCCCCGGCTTCAGCCCCAACAAGCCAGAAAAGAGGATCATCTTTGGTGATCTTATGTGGCTGTCATGGCTACCACCCTTCCTCTTCTTCCTATTTCCAGACTAAGTGACAGAGTTATGTAACACTGACATTTATCAGTACCTGGCTTTCTATCAGAGTCTCCTGGGTTCTTAAGAAATACAGACTCTTGGACCTATCCTAGACATGCTAAGTCAGATTCTTTGTGGGGCAGGGCCAGAAATTAATAATTAAAAAATTAAAATTTAAATAGATAATGCATACACATGTTAAAACACATACATACACAATGAGGATAATACAAAAGAGCAATGTGCCCCACTCTGAGCCTGGCTTCTCTCTCTCCAAAGAGACCCATTCCTACCAGTCTGCAAAGCACTGGGCATACAAGTGCACAAATGCATGGCACATACTATAAATCCTTCTAAAGCCGCTGCTGTACACCTGCCTCACTTAACCATGCAGCCTCAAGGCTGCCTCATGTCATTCTTTCCTACAGCTGCAGACGTTTCAACATATGGACAGGTGTGCCAGGATTTATTTAACTAGTCTCTGACTGATCTAGCTCACCTCCTAAATACATATGCAGGTAAAAGCAAAAAGTTGAAAATTGCTTTACTAATTTCTAACAAATGGCAACATTAACAAAGAGGGAAATTCTCACAGGTGGAATAGAAGGTGACACTAAAGATATAAGCCAGTTCTACTTCTGAATTCTAACAAGAGAACAAGGAGAATTTTTATAATGCAGATCCTTTAATGAAAAACTCCCTCTAATGCCAACTAAACTTAACTTGAAGGCAGCTAGCTATTAAAACCTTACTAACAGTTCTAGCAAACTTCTCCTTGGTTGTAAATTAAGGCTCTTAATTAACTTTAAATTAATTATAACAAAAGCAAATCTAAAAATATAAGACTAAAATATTATAGACCACATTAAGTAGTAGGAAACAGGCAGTCTGGGACTGGAGGCTCGGCTAGGACAAGCCCCTCTCAGCATTAGTCACGTAACCGCAGGTGAGCCTCCCTGTCTCTCCAGGCCCAACTTAACTCCACTGGTAAGTTGAGACAATAATTTTTGTCTACTTTTCAGTATTTAAAGCCCAAATGAGATAATTTATGTGAAATAGTATTATAAAGTAGCGAGTCTTGTATAATTATTATGGTATGCCATTTCTTGCAACATAATATGGCTAATACATTTTAAATAAAATTCATTTGATTCCATAACCATGACAGACAGTGTGTTTTATTTCACTAATTAGTTATAAAATTTGACAACTTTCCTGTAAATCCAGCACTTTGGGAGGCCAAGGCGGATAGATCACCTGAGCTTAGGAGTTCGAGACCAGCTTGAACAACATGGTGAGATCCTGTCTCTACAAAAAATACAAAAATTAGCCAGGCTTGGTGGCGTATACCTGTAGTCTCAGTCACTTGTGGGACTGAAGTGGTAGGATCACTTGAGCCTGGGAGGTCAAGGCTGCAGTGAGCCGTGTTTGTGCCCCTGCACTCCATCCTGTGTGACAAAGTGAGACCCCGTCTCAAAAAAAAAAAAAAAAAAAATTTAAACTTATATACACTAGCTTACTTGAATGAGCAGTGAAAGACTCTTTAGATAATACTAATGACAATAGTCTATGCTACTATTTTAGTCTTCATGAAACTGAACATATCAACTAACACAAAAGAAAAATAATAGTCTTTTCTCTTAATTATAGGAATTATACCTAGAAAATAACCAAATTGAAGAAATAACTGAAATTTGTTTCAATCATACCAGAAAGATCAATGTCATTGTACTACGTTATAACAAAATTGAAGAAAATAGGATTGCTCCTTTAGCCTGGATAAATCAAGAGTAAGTACATGCTACAATTTAAATTTTATTGAACTATTTCTTCCTCTTGTCATTATTAAACAGAGTAGGAAAACTGGGAATGGGATAAGTGAGGGAGGTGACGATACTGAAGGGCTTGGAGACAGAATCGTTTCTTAGTGAACCCTTACCCTATCTCCAAAGTGGGCTCCTTCATGCAATTTCCAACCTGTGCATTGCATGACCGGTGTTAGGATTATTACAGTTACTACTGCTGTTGTTACCATACTGCATACTGGACACCCTATCATATGCCAAGTGCTGAGCTAGCAAAAACTGAGCCCCAGCTGTCTGACTTCAAGGTCTGCCCACTACTGGTCAAATGCCACTCTAGCTCTGTCTACCTCACAGGTTGTCAGCAGGTTTGAATGAGATAATCCCCTGCACACAGTGAGAAAGAAATCTGCCATACTCCTTCTCCTCATCATCATTAGGTGGAAGCACCAGGCTCCAGAGCCCAGGCCTGTTCTCCTACACTACACAGCCTTCTTTTCTCCAAACTATTTCTTCACCTCAACTCTTACAAAATAGACTGAAGAATGCTTGGCCTAACAGTGGAGGCCAAAAGTAGACTCCATCTTCCTGGACAAGAATCAGCAACCTCTGGCAGTAGCTCTCAGTGAAGGGGGAGGGAGTCAGAAGCAAGCCCTGCAGCAAATCCAGCAGACAACTGGGATCTGGGATTGCGTGTCCTGGAACTATGTGCCTAAGTAACACAGCCGGGGACGTGGGTCATTCAGAAACAGGATGGAGAGGCCAACTGGGCTCAGCAGCATGTGGCACTGAGTCCACTGTGGGCAGAGGAGTCTTCATCAGGTGAAAAGAGGGTGTGAGGCAGAAGCCTTAAGAGACTCAGGTGGGGTTCCTGAAACAAGCCAGTGAGTTCACCACGTTTCCCAGATCTTCTAGATGATTAACAGCATTTTCTAGATCTCTCAGGCTCACCTCAAGTCTCAGGTGTGCCAGGTCATCAAATCAAATGTGGAATGAAAACGTAGGGGAAGGGGAACCAAAACAAGCCAAACAAACCAAACTTCCTTGCTGGAACCAGAGACAACTTTACAGATAGGCATTTTGATGTATGCTGGGATTCATGGAATTTCATTTTGGATTCAACACATCAACCTTACAGATATTTTAGTCTTTGGGCCTCAGTATTGCCTCCAGGGATATGAGTTTTTTCCCTCCTACTCTTTGATGTTCCCTCGCAAGGATTCACATAGCTGGGAGGCAGTATGGCACACTGGTAAGGACATGCACCTTGGTGCAAGAGACTAGGGCTGGCTATACCTGGAAAAGTTCCTATTTGGAATCTTAACTACAAACTGGGTGCTTATAGGAAAATGGACCAGCATCAAGACTGGCCTTATCAAAATTTAGAGCTGATGATCACCATCCTGATGTCCCTACCCTGTTTACTTTTTTCTTTGTTGCAGAAATCTAGAATCCATTGATCTCTCGTACAACAAGCTCTATCACGTCCCGTCCTATCTACCCAAGTCCTTGCTGCACCTCGTGCTCCTCGGGAACCAGATTGAACGGATCCCTGGCTATGTGTTTGGTCACATGGAACCAGGCCTGGAATACTTGTACCTGTCATTTAACAAACTTGCTGATGATGGCATGGACCGTGTCTCCTTCTATGGGGCATATCATTCCCTGAGAGAATTATTTCTGGATCACAATGACTTAAAGTCTGTACCACCTGGGATACAAGAAATGAAAGCACTACATTTTCTGAGGCTGAACAACAACAAGATAAGGTAAATTTTGGCTTTTTCAAGTATCTGTTTAAATTTTGGTTGGCAAAATATATGATAAAACAACCATGACATGATCTCTGGGATTTATGTTAAGGAAAAAAAAAAATGGTGCTAAGGGGTTGGATTAAACAAGATTGGCAAATGTTAGTAATTACTGAAGGTGGATAACAGGTATGTGAGGATTCATTATAAGTTTTTCCTACTTTTGCACGTTTATAAATTTCCATAGTTAAAACATCTTTTGGCCAGGTGCAGGGGCTCACACCTATAATTCCAGCACTTTGGGAGGCCAAAGTGGGTGGGTCACCTGAGGTCAAGAGTTCGAGGCCAGCCTGGCCAACATGGTGAAACCTCGTTTCTACTAAAAATACAAAAATTAACAGGGCTTGGTGGTGCATGTCTGTAATGCCAGCTAGTCGGAAGGCTGAGGTGGGAGAATGTTTGAACCTGGGAGGCAGAGGTTGCAGTGAGCCAGGATCATGCCACTGCACTCCGGCCTGGGTAACAGAGTGAGACTCCATCTAAAAAAAAAAAAAAAGAAAAATTAACAGATTATTATTATATAACACTTAGAACTTTAGAGACAGTTTCAGATAAGTCTTCAAAGCACTAGATTATGTTACTACCCCCACCTCCATATGTAAATAAATAAATCTGTAGAGCATAATACCTAAATATATGCTAAAATTAAAACTGCTTCTATCTAGATTTTTCTGAAGTCAAATTTCTGAAAACATTTATTGAGACTCACTTTCCCTACTTTTGGGAACACATTTTTCTGCGTGTATTCAGCTTATATACTGAATCATCACTCCTGCCTAGATGGCATGAGTGTCTTGAGAAGTAATCCAGAATATTTTGTCAGTAGGGTCTTTATAATTGGCAGTGAGGGAGACAATAACCTTGTTGTTCCGTTCCTGAGAATTATGCCTCTTAGTCTCTCCCCTTCTCTAAAAGTCCAAATAAACTAAATGCCTACAAAAAGAAAACAAAACAAAAACACAGAAAAGTTCGAGTTTTTAAAGGTACTGGAAGAAGAGATGGGGCTTGGGAAAGCTTTGTAAAATTCAGTTTCAAAATTTTTTTGCAAAAATACTTCACAGGTTGTGCCATATGCTTCATACTGCACTGCATCAGAAAGCGTTTAATGTTTATCCCACTTTTTGTGATTCTAAAATTGATCAGTGGGTTGAGGTGGTCACAGCCTGGTATCTCCTACGACAAACTTACTCTTCCATCACTGAACCAATGGTTTCACTCATAGATGAATGTTGTCTGATTCTTACTTCATTAGGGGTAACAAAATGATGAATTTCTATTTTTTCCATGCTTCTCATGCTTATTAGCTGGAATTCTGCTGTAAAAAATTTTTTGCTCATCAACTAGGGCTGCTTTGTCACTCTGAAAGGCAAGAAAAAAGCTTAGTTCTTTCCTTTAAGCCACAAGTGGGAATAAGAAATTGGAGCCTAAATGTTTTTGCTTTATTTTGTTTTAGGGTTCTCTCTTTTTCTGGTGAATCAATATACACTTACGCTTTCATGTAAGCAGTTATGCTTCAATCAGTTGCAGTCATTATTTATTTTTTTTTTTGAGACAGAGTCTTGCTTAGTCGCCCAGGCTGGAGTACAGTGGCCGGATCTCAGCTCACTGCAAGCTCCGCCTCCCGGGTTCACGCCATTCTCCTGCCTCAGCCTCCCGAGTAGCTGGGACTACAGGCGCCCGCCGCCTCGCCCGGCTAATTTTTTGCATTTTTAGTAGAGACGGGGTTTCACCGTGTTAGCCAGGATGGTCTCGATCTCCTGACCTCGTGATCCGCCCGCCTCGGCCTCCCAAAGTGCTGGGATTACAGGCGTGAGCCACCGCGCCTGGCGCAGTCATTATTCTTAAACCGTCATGTATCTGGACAATGGTCGTTATTCAAACTGGCTCTTGTGTCTGCTCACTTGTTTTGGGCACACATGGGCCTCGGGCTTACTTTCTGCATTCCCTACTACAGACCTTCCTCCAAAGGGCCTGGCCCCTTTCTTTGGGGAATAGTATTGAGAAGCCCCAAGTAGGAACCAGCCGTGGCCCTTTTAATTGTGTTGCTATTGTATTGAGGCCTTTCAGTGGACTGCCATGAAATTCCGTATTTTGAAAAGAAAATAAGTTCAGATTGACATTCCCAAATCAAATTTAACGTCATTTAATATTAATTCCTTTTATTGAAACTTGTTTCTCTTACACTGAAAATCTAGGTTCCCAACAACATTAACTTGGATGATCTTACAATATGTAAACAATTGTTTCAAAATGACATCATTATTACTGCTAATAATAAAAGCTTTAAGTTTATTATTTTTTGGTAGCTCTATTTGTCTTTAGAATAAGTTCCACTAAACATGTACAGCTGAAATACAGTGGTTTCCTCTGTGATATGTCAACAACTTAATATTCAGACATGTTATTTAGTTTTCGGATTTTAGAAATTGCTTTTTTCTTTTTCAATATTACTTTTGACTGTGTTAAATATTTATAATTCCAAAGTCAAAACTGTGTAAGAAGTTGAATTAAGAGAAGTCGTACTTCTGTGATTGTCTGTCGTACACTGTATGATCCTTCCTATGGGTTAAATTTTTAAATTTCTAGTTTATCCTTCCAGTATTTATTTTTGCAAACAGAAGCCTACATACATATACCTATTTCCCCATCCCCATCCATAATTATTATACAAATTATTACACAAAAGGGCAGTTTTCTCTCTATATAGGTCTTAGTCCAGTTCTGATGCTATAAAGTAATGCCCAAGGCTGGGTAATTTGTAAAGAGAAAAGGTTTATTTCGCTCATGGTTCTTCAGGCAGTGCAAGCAGCACGGCACTGGCATCTGCATCTGGTGAGGGCCTTCAGGCTGCTTCCACTCGTGGTGGAAGGGGAGATGGAGTGTGTAGAGATTACATGGCAAGAGAGAAGGCAAAAAAGAATGGGGAGGTGCCAGGCTCTTATGGGAATTAATAGAACAAGAACTCACTCACTCCCCTGATCCTAGAGAGGATATTTATCTATTTATGAGTAATCTGCCCCCATGACCCAAACACCTCCCATTAAGCACCACCTCCAACACTGGGCATCACATTTCAACATGAGATTTGGAGGAGTCTAGAACTTAAAGTATAATAATAAAAAAAAAGAAATATAAGATATAAGAAAATGACATAAAAAACAAACCAACCTTATGGGGTATATATATTTTTTCTACCATTTGCTTTTTTTCTTTTTCTTTTTTTTTTTTTTGAGACAGAGTTTCGCTCTTGCTGCCCAGGCTGGAGTGCAATGGCGTGATCTTGGCTCACTGCAACCTCCACCTCCCGGGTTCAAGCGATTCTCTTACCTCAGCCTCCCAAATAGCTGGGATTACAGGCATACACCACCATGCCCAGCTAGTTTTGTATTTTCAGTAGAGATGGGGTTTCTCCATGTTGGTCTGGCTGGTCTTGAACTCCTGACCTCAGGTGATCCACCCGCCTCGGCCTCCCAAAGTGCTGGGATGACAGGTGTGAGCCACCACGCCCAGCCTACCCTTTGCTTTTTAAAAGTATCAGTATATCACTCCACATCAGTATGTAGAGAATTTCTTCATTCCTTTTTACAACTGAATATTATGCAGATATACTATATTTTATTCAATCAGTTCGTTATTGATAGACATTTGTTTCCACTCTTACTGCTAAAAATAATGCCACAAAAGATAAGTTTGTATAAATGTCATTATGTTTTCTTCCAGTTTAACTTTGGGATAAAATCCTAGGAGTGGGAATGCAGAGTGCAAAGGGTAAAGTGCATATGTAATTTTGCTAGATATTACCAAATTCCTCTCCAGAGGGGGTGCACCATTTTGCATTCCCTTCAGTGGTATCTGATTGGTCCAGGCTCACTATTAGAATATGTTAATGAGTTTTTGGATTTTTTTTTTTTTGCAAACCTCATAAATAAAAAGTGGTATGCCAGTAAAGTTTCAATTTACATTTTTCTTATGAATGAAATTGAGCATTTTCCATTTTCCTCCTAGATTCTTAGGAAGCCTTTGTATCTGTGATATAAGTTACTCTCTCCTTCTTTGTCATGTTGTTTAACTTTGCACTTTCTTTTTAAACCCTGTAGTAAATTTTAAATCTTTTCATTCAGTGCTTCTGGTTTTCAAATCACATACAAGAAGAATCTCCCGAGTCAGAGGGTGTGACCACGGTCTGTTCGAGTGCTTCTATGGCTTCATCTTTCACATTTGAATCTTTGACGTAGTTGGAATTTATTCTGGTCTATAATATAAGGATTCAACTTTATTTTAAGAACAAAATAATTTTTTTAACGAATGTTAAACTTAACTCCTAAATGAAGGCAGATTATTACTTGGACCATGTGTGACTTGCATGTCTATTTTTCCTTAGGAACATTCTTCCAGAAGAAATTTGCAATGCTGAAGAGGATGATGACTCAAATCTGGAACATCTTCATCTTGAAAACAATTACATTAAAATTAGAGAAATACCATCTTACACATTTTCATGCATAAGATCATATTCGAGTATTGTTCTTAAACCACAAAACATCAAGTAATTCCAAGTTTTCCTTTGCTGTTTATAAACTTTATTCATGTATTTGTAGTAGCTGCATTTGTCATTAACAAGAGACATAATCCTCCGGTTATTCTCAGTATCATTATATACTAGTCAATCTGATTCACTAATACACAGATGAACAACCAAAATATACCTAAAAGGCATAGTCTCTAGGAGTTTTATTAATAGTAAAGGTAAAATCTCTCAGTTTCCCACCTTTAGAAAGAGGTCATCTCACTAGAATAGGATATCATGCATACTGAGCTAGACCAGAAGAGTCTGGAACAAAATAAACACAACCTTTATAATCAACTTGAGTACTGGTGTTAGCCGAGAACTCTGTAAGTCCCTTTAAAAGTTATTTATCTTTTGGTTCAAGATTAAGAAGCATAATGACAAGAAAAAAAGGCAGAATTTATGAATAAGTGTTGTTTATTATTCTGTTAAAACAATAATTTGTTAGTTTCTTATAAGGCCCTGGGCTATAATTACTGGTATAAATATAACTAAGTATTGGGGTAGCTTTCATTTCTTCCATTAATTACATGTGTAAAATGAAAACACTACTGTAATGTTAATTTCCTGGTTTTGAAAATCACATTATGGTTATGTACATTGTTAACATTAAGGAAAGCTGGCAGAAGGGTGTGCATGAATTCTATACATTTTTGAAACTTTTCTATAATTCTAAAAGTTTAAAGTTAAATTTAAAGTTAAACAGTGTATTAAGATTACCTTCACCATTCTTCACTCGAGATTAAAACATTTTTTGAAAAGCAGTAGAGTCTGCTTAAAATACAAGTTAATTATTCTTGACTATAACCTTGTAAAGGCAAATCTAATGTACAAATTTTTGAAAAATTTTGCACCACTGGTCATAGCATCTATCTCCTTTGCCTTAATTTACTGAAATATATCATTTTATTCCGTTCAATTGAACATAAAGCTATGTCTTTACTATGTATTGGCCCTACCAAAACCATATATTAAAATTTTTTAACATAATGATCTTTTATCTTTGTATTGCTAAAGTAATTTATAAGACATATATAGAAACTATGTTGACTTCTTTTGTTACTCTTGGTTTTATGTCTTGGCTAGGAACTTAAGTGCCAGTGTTGGCCTCATTGCATAGGTTTCTCCAATTTTTTAAGCTTTAGTTATTTAATCATTTAATAGTTCTTTCACCACTCTAGGAACCTTCCATCCCGACTTTACAAAGCTATTATAAGAACCAGAAAAGAATGTAAAGCATTTTGGAAAGTATGAATGCAGTTATTATCTCATATAAAACTGAAAGGAACCAGCATAGCCAACCACAATTGACAATTTCATGGGTGACTTTCAATTTCATGAGTGTGAAAAGTTTGACTTATTCCATAATGTTACTTCTTTTTCTTTTTTTTTTTTTTTTTAGATGGAGTCTCGCTCTGTCACCAGGCTGGAGTGCAGTGGTGCAATCTTGGCTCACTGCAACCTCTGCCTCCTGGGTTCAACCGATTCTCCTGCTTCAGCCTCCCAAGTAGCTGGGACTACAGGCGTATGCCACCACGCCCAGCTAATTTTTGTATTTTTAGTAGAGACAGGGTTTTACTATGTTGGCCAGGATAGTCTCGATCTCTTGACCTTGTGATAAGCCCACCTTGGCCTCCCAAAGTGCTGGGATTACAGGCGTGAGTCACTGCACCCGGCCAGACTTACTCCATGTTACTTCTAAGCCTACTTTCTAAGCCCTTTCTTAATAGGCAGGATTCAGTGATTATAACATGAACAACAATAATAATATGAAGATAACTGTTAGACTGAGGGGTCAAAGACTTATAGCAGGTTGTTAGGAAGAAAAACAGGATTTTATGGAACAAAAGTTGAGCTTTGTAATCAGTTTAGGAATGAAGGAGCATTACTAATTTTAAATTGGCCAAGTTCAATTTAAGAGACAGGTAAAAACAAGAAGATAAGGTTACACATCCATTTAACAAGTATTGCATTTGTGCAATACTTCTTGATGTATGAATATAAACGCATTGACATAAATGGTTTAAGGCAATCTAAGCTGTAAACAAAATTAGTATTAAAGGGGGCTCAAACTGAATAAGGTGAGTCAGCAGAACTAGCATCCTGGGATGACACAGAGACAGATACTGAACCACTCATTCATTCATTTCTTAGTCTGATTTTATTCAGTTGTGTTTCAGATGCTGTTCTAGAGACAGTGACAAACAGAGCAGATGGGGCCTTTCCTCTCTGGTAGAGGCAATAAGCAGGAAACCAAGCAGACAATTAAGTAAGCAGGCAAGTGCTGTGCAGTCAGAAAAATGGGTGACAATGCAATGAGCACACTGGTGCCTGATGGCTGCCAGGAGACTACGGCCACCCTCAATGGCCTGGAGTAACAGCAGATCCAGACCCGTGCCAGACCCTGCAGGCACACTGTGGGCTTGCTGTGCATGTCTCTTCTCACCTCTGCTCTGGCAGCAGAATCCCAAAGAAAAATGAAAATCGGAATGACCGACTGAAGCTTTTTTTCTTAAGTGGAAGTTGTACTTATTTCAACTGATTTTATAATTTTTAAAATATGGCTAGCATGGAACTTGTTCAGCCCTGAAATTTCATGATGTTCTGGATGGGAAGTTTTAATTCCATAAAAAAGTGATAAATGTCCTTATAGCAAACACTCTTCACAATATAATGTACTAAAAAACAGATGTTCTGTTTGGCTTCAAAAATTACACTATAATTACTAACACACATATACACTAAAGAAGTCCTGGTCTAGCCATGATCTAAAAATATAAATGGTGTGTCTTGTCTTTGTGTATATATACAAGGAACAGTATAACTTTGAGATTTGGCTTATTATCAATAAAAATATTATAAGCAGCACTAAAGAAATGATTTAGCGAAAGACATACAGAACCTGGTATAAGGAAATAACTATACCAGGAACGAAGAGACTTGGGAGCCCATCTTGTTCTCCAATAATTATACAGTCATTTTACTTCTTTGGGGTTCATTTGATTCAATTATAAAATAACATGTGTGGAACAGATCAGTAGTTTTCAGACAAGGTTCACTGGGGTTTCGTGTCACTGATAAGGAAGTGCACAGACCTCTCTCTTCAAACAAAGCAGCTTTGCTCTCATCAGAAAGTGTTGACTCCCATCCCCCTTTTCTTCTTACAATCAACAAACTAGGTACTATCTAAATGACACACTAGGTTTTAAAATCCATGAAGAACATGCCGCCTTCTCTTCCCTTTCTCCAGCTCCGCCTGCATTCCCGGAGCATCCAGGCTGAAGAGGCTCGGCCTTAGGAAAAGGCTGCCAGGTTTTCCTTCTGAGCACCAGTGCAGTGGGGTGACATCAGCCCTGAGCAGACTGCTGGGCCCCCGACCACCTTAAATGGCTAGTTGACAAGCTCCTGTAGGAACGAGCACCATGCTGCAAGCTCACCAACCTCCTTGCAGGTCAGGTGATGACGCTGGGGCTCAGCGAGGGCAGGTGGCACATGAGAACAACAGGGAATATGTGGCTAAGTCTGGACTTCCCCTGCATCTTCTGACTCTGAGGCTGGTGTTCCTCCTGCTGAACCAAGCTGTCTCTCCATTAGAGTTTGGATGGAAAGTCTAGGGCACCCAAGAGTGGCAGGCTGCCTAATAAAAGGTCCGAACCTGAGTGGCTGATGCTCAACCGGAGGGTACAGGGCATGTGGTATGGCAGGTGTTGCTAACGAGGGGAGGAAGATACTCAAAACCACCTCTCCTTCAAATGGCATCATCAAATGGCTCCACGTACATCTCCTTAGAAGCCATTCTCATTAAGTCAAAGTTAATTACTCCTTAAGATGATTGCTTTCATTAAAACAGAAAAAAACTATCTACAATGTTGTACAGTTGAAATATGCACGGTGTCCTCTAGTTGTCATGGACACCTCCAGGGGTCATCAAGACGATTATTCTCATTCACACATAATTATTCCCGTAACGGTTAATAATACGTATTATAAATCTTTAAATTGACTTGGAAATGTTAACAAATTATGACAATGTTTGTTTTAAGATTATTTTAGACTCGGCATAAGTATATGAAAATTTAAGCCACAAATTACAGGTATATAGCTAAAGGATAAAACCCCAAATTTTTGGTAGCATATTTGTGTTAAGCATAGTGGTTTAGGCAAAAATGGTTTCTCTAATTTGACTAATATAGGTGGGGAGTAACAAAAGATGACTGTGATATAATACAGGATATAATTAACACTAAACCATACAACACATACACATGGTTCAGGGGAGAAAGATCAATGGACTTTGAAACAGGAATGTGAATCAGTGAGGCAAGGAGATGGAGGGGCTCACGTCTGGGCTCACTGGTCAGGAGTCTAGCCTCATTATGGCAGGAAAGGAGAGGCAAGACGAGGGCTCCTCAGGTCAGGAATTAGACCAGATTCAAGGCGATGAGAAATGCAGCGTACCACTGAAAAATGCTGAAGCATGAAGTGTTCCATGAAAGAAATAAGTTAAGAAAGGAAAAAGAACTACCCACTGCAAAAATCTAGAAAGAGAGTGACAGCCTTCATTGCACAGATACGAGAGACACCAAAAGGAATTCAGTGAATAGTGATCTTGCCAGATAAGGGACAGACGGAAAAGAAGGGACTAAAGAAGAAACTGCTGATTCTCATAAAGCTGCTGAGAAGTTGAGAGAAAGGGGCCATCTGTGAGAGAATGCTGAACTTGGGGTGTCACCATGAGGGTCAGGCAAGACAAGGAGAGGACAGGAAAGACGGGAGGGTATGGGGTCAAAGCTGAATGCACAGGCAAGGACGTACACCTGAAGGGGCCTGACAAGAGAGGGGCAGTTGAGCCAATCTCTGACGGACGCCGACCCTCAGCTTCAAGGGAGGGACACAGAAGCCAAGTTCACTGCAGTCTCCATCTGACTTGAGCCTTTCACCTTTCAGAGCCAGGTTCCAAGCACAGGATGAGTTGCACCTAAAAGCCTAGTTCCTCAGGACCCCAAGCCCCACAAAACCCCCGCCATTCAGCAGCTGTGCCGCTGCCCAGGACAAACCTGGTATTATTAGGTAGATCTGCAGTGATTACCTCTTTAGTGTTATTAGTTAGGTCCTACATAATGGTTATCTGGAATTATTAGTTAGGTATTGATTACTTCTCTGTGTATGCGGGTGTTGTACAGTAGCTGGGTTGGGGGATATAGCTTGTTTCCCCAAAAAGACTGTAAAACTTAACAGAACAGAGACGACTCATTTCTTAACCCCCTGAATTTTGTGCAAAGTAGGTGCTAAAATGGCTCTTGAATAAAGAGTTCCATCTCCTTCATCTCCCAGTCAAAACTGGTTCGGCTTACGAGTTATATTACCCAAAGAGTTGATATTATCCAAAGTTGACATTACTCCTAAATAAAAAAGAAAGGAACCTGCAAAATTTAAGGATTTTCACAGAAAAACTTAGAAACTGAGCAGAAAAAGATTTATATAGGGTCACAAAATTAAAAGGGAATCATTTATGTTATTAATATTTCTGACAAGGACCTCAGAAAGCTAAGTATATTTTTTAAACAATTAAGTTATGCTTTGACAACTGGTAATACTTAGTAATCAATCTGATTGCTCTGCATAATAGCAACACTGACTATGCCTTCCAAAGCCATCATTTAAACATACCATAAATTACTATGTTCCTAAGATGCTGACTTAAAAGAATGAAATACTCAAATTCTGCTGTTGAAGTGAAACTTCAAAGGGTGGAGTAAAACCCTTTATGATATTGATTCCACCTCTTTCCCTTCTTTAGAAAAAGGATAGAAAATGTCCTCATGGCAGAAACATTTACAGACTGACAGATGACTGAACTATTTATCTATCCATGTTTGCATGTAAATTCAGAACCTTGATAGACTTAAAATTCAAAAATATTAAAAGTACCCAGGAAAAGAAGTTTCTGCCCAGCTCTAACTTAACACCAAATGACCATTACGGGCCTTAAGCCCCCAAAGTCTGTGAAACATGGAGATTCCTCTCTTGTAGTTAAAAAAACAATAATGAGTATCTTGGCTCTGAACTAGAATCAGTACTAGCCACGGACCTGGCCAAGTTACTTAGAGTTCTAATTTCTTCGTGCACAAAATCAGGAAACAACATGTGCCTCCCAGGGCTGATGGGAATACTAAACAAGTGGATATCCTGTGGAGGTGCTGGGCATAGGGCAGACATAAAAAAAGGTGAGTGTCAATGTTTCCAGGGATAAACTACAGGAAACTGGTGAGCAGGAAGTTACTTAACTTGCTCAAGGCTTCCAGGCCTCTGAGTATGGTGAATATTAATTATTTAAAATAACTGATTTCTTAGATTGGTGGAAATACAGTGGAAAAAGGAGTGGGTCTAGTATACTAAGACAGGGCTCTGCACACATGCTCTGCAGAGCGCCAGAAGTAAACCCCTTGGACTCTGTGGGCCAGTGGGGGTCCAGCGGGGACCCTGTAACCTTGGCAACAGCATGGCTCTCCTGAGGAGTAGGTGGGAAATTAACAGCAAAACCTGAGTTTGACTGCCTTTCTACTGTGTTACTGTATGATCACATCCAGGACACGGAACAGAGTGAACCATGGTATACACGAACATCTGAGCAGGATCTCCAGGCTGAGGGGGCCAAGAGGGTGAGGAAACTGGAACTCAGAGAGTGTAAATGACATCTCATCATAAGATTAAAAAAAAAAAAAAAATCCTGACCATAGGAAAGAAAATTAAGTTTGATTTGTGTGATTCACTGTGATTACTTATAATACCTAAAAAAGGGGAAAATTGTATTTAAAACAGTCAGCCAAACTAGAGAAGTATCTGATCAATGAGCCTGTCCTATAAATGAATTCTTCCCTTAGAAATAACCCCTGAATGAGTCTCCAACGGTACAGCAAGACAGTCTGCACTGGCAAACCCAGGCCTTTCCATCTGTAGCCCATGTGGCAAGCTTTGGGCAGAGGCTTCCCTAGCAAGTTTGATCCTTTCGTATTCATTTCTGGCCCTATGACTATCAGCTCAATTGAAACTAGTCCAACAGAATCAAAGGCATTTGTAAAAGGTTTTAAGAGGAAAATCTCCTGCAAACTGTGTAATCCTGAATTAGTCCATGTTTGATTCTACATGTCTTAAGGCTTCAGCTTATGACATGTCTTTTACTACAAGGTGAACAGGAGCATTTGAGAATGTAAGCCCTGCTGGAGTTCAGTCTGTCACATACTGTTATTTGCAAAGGAATAAATGTTCTAAACTCAGTAAGTAAACTTTAGTGGTGATACAACTAAATCATAAAGGCATGACCATTTCTTCTGTGAAGTTATGTTCCCTTTTCTATATGAAAGTGGATAAAATTAAAACTTAGTCTAGCGTATTTTTTCCTTTGTATAAAATGTGAAGAATGTGAATCCACGCAAGGGAAAGCAGGACTGTATTAAAAATAACATGTGATTACACTAAATACGTATTAGTTTGGAAAAGAAAAGGAATACATCATGTTATTAAAATGTCCTGGTGTGTTTCTAAGTAACAGAATCTCTGTGGTCAAATAAACTTACATTAAACTATCAACTGATATAAGCAAATCTTTTTATAAGTTGGAATCTGCTGAAGGTTCATTTGTTTTGCCTAAACTGGGAATTACATTCACAAATATCAAATTTATATGTGAATCATTTGGAAAGTGAATTTAACTAGTATTGTGACACTCAGAATAAAAAAAACATTATAAACTGTAAATCTATACTAGGGCAGCAGTTCTTAACTATTTGAAGGATGGACCCCTCTGAAAATATGGTGAAAGCTATAATGGATCCTCCATGCAGAAAAATCCATATATAAAAACACTTGGCATGTATCAAAAGACTCATAAAGTCTTTCCACAAATTCTCTAGGTATTCATATACCCAAGTTAAGAATCCCTGTCTAGGGTAACATCTTAATTAACTTAAAATAAATTTGGTGGTAAATATTTCACTAGAGTGAAGGATAAATCAAAGAGTTAAAGTTAACTTAAGGCAAACTGCCTTATCTGCTCCAATTATTTAGCATTTATTCCCCCTTTATTTGGTAATATTTTCAAGGACACAGAAAAGTTTAAGTTCACAATGAGCACCTACATATCCTTCACCTATATTCACCAATGAATAATACAGATGCTCTCTGACTTATGATGGGTTACATCCTGATAAACCCACCATAAGTTGAAAATATCATAGGTCAAAATGTATTTAATACACCTCACCTTCATCTACTGTCATAGCTCAGCCTAAGCTACGTACATGGGTTCAGAACACTATATTATTCTTCAGTTGGCAAAATCATCTAACGTGAAGCCGATTTTATAATAAAGCGCTGACTAGCTCAAGTAATTTACTGAATGCTGTACCGAAAGTGAAAAATACAATGGTTGTATGGGTACTCAAAGTACAGATTCTTGCTATCGAGCAAACTCTGACCTAATGGTGTTATATATTTACTTATTTTTTGAGACAGGGTCTGGCTTTGTCACCCAGGCTGGAGTGCAGTGGTGTGATCACTGAAGCCTCGACCTCCCAGCCTCAAGTGATTCGCCCACCTCAGCCTCCCCAGTAGCTGGGACTATAGGTGTGTGCCACCATGTCTGGTCTATTTTATTTTTTGTAGAGACAGGATCTCACTGTGTTGCCGAGGCTGACTTAATTGTTTTAGCTTCCCTTGATTATCTTTCCTTAAATCAATTATTATATTGGAGGTTTCACTGTGGTGATTTTCTGTTACTCCTTCTGCATTCATTAGTTGACATTCATCTGTAAGGAAAAACTCTGATCCTTTTAACCTTCTTTTCTCTGTTATTATAAAAAGGATTTAGTATCGTACGTGTTATAATCCACTGTTTTTTATTTTTTTGAGACGCTCAAACTGCCCCTTCATGGTGGCTTCTATGTTCCTTTTCGGAGTTCTTGGTAAACTCTGCAAACTTTCACACTTCTTGGTACAAGAAACTTTTTCAGACACCTTTATTTCTCTGGTCCAGACCTTTTATGGGCCATTTTTCCAAGGAGTCCTGGTGCCCTTAGTGGGAAACAGTATTTAGAAACACAGATCTGGAAACCAGATGTGCTCATTGCTCCCAGGTCTGCTCACTGGAAAGAGGTAAGAAATTTATTTAAAACAAAACCATTACTTGTACAGATTCCTCAAAGCAAATTGACTTCAGACATTCGTTAAAAATATTTGACACAGCTGGGTGCGGTGGCTCACGCCTGTAATCCTAGCACTTTGGGAGGCCGAGGCGGGCGGATCACCTGAGGTCAGGAACTCGAGACCAGCCTGGCCAACATGGCAAAACCCCGTCTCTACGAAAAACACAAAAATTAGCCAGGTGTGGTGGGCTGCACCTGTAATCCCAGTTACTCAGGAGGCTGAGGCAGAATTGCTTAAACTCAGGAGGCAGAGGTTGCAGTGAGCTGAGATTGTGCCACTGCACTCCAGCCTGGGCGACAGAACGAGACTCTGTGTCGAAAAAAAAAAAATTGATACATGCAAAATATAATAAACAGAATTATGTAAGTCCTTCATTTTTCATAAACTCAACTGAATGAACATTCAGTGACAATTTATTATAATTCATTTTTCAGAACTAGAAACTTTAAGTAGGATGACAGAGTGAGCTCAGCCACATGACACAGCAGAAGCCAGTCCCTGCACCAGAAGAGCTGTGAGGAGAGGGTAAGAGGAGGTCAGGGCAGCAGAGAACCATGGAGGGCCTACGTGCTCAGCAAATTGCTGCTACACAGGATGTCAGGGTCAGTGTTTCCAGCTCATATTTTTCAAAATACATTGTAAACTTGGACTTTGACATCAAATTTCCTGGTTTTTAAAAATACTATATACTCCAAACAATCTGCAGGCTGAATACTGCCCCTGGGTCACAACCTACAGTACAAAGTAAATTCATTAGAAACCAAAGTGCCTAGTCCACCATGAGGGATACTTGAACATCAAAACCCATGAAATCTTAATCATTTATCCCTTCACAGAAGCTTTTTAAAGCATCTACTATACAAAAATCCCTATGTTATGCATATTTACATCCTAGGATTCAGTGGCCTAGAACATTCTTAAAGTGGGTGCTTGTATGGCATGGCTAACTCCCTCACAGTCCTCAGGTCTTGTGACTGTCACCTGACAGGGAGGGTACCCCTGACAGTCCCACCCCCATCCTGCTTCTCTCCATAGCACTTACACTATTTGTTGAATGAATGGATGGGTGGACGGCCTTTCTTGTAGCTACTACTATAAGAGAACATTGTACAATCTATTCCAATTCATTTAGAACGTGAAGGACACCAGAGACTGGCAAAAGGACATCAGAAAATTCAAACTGCCTAATTTTTGGCAGGTGTGTGTATGCCCCTCAATATACTCCTGACACATGCTGCTCCTATAGCTCCTGCCTCGCCTATCAAACCTTTTCATTTGGGCTGTGTGCAGGTGGTTCCCACCTGGAATCTCAGCACTTTGGAGGCTGAGGTGGGACAACTGCTTGAGCCCAGGAGTTTGAGCTATGATTGTACCACTGCACTCCAGCCTGGGTGACAGAGTGAGACTGTCAATCAATCAGTCTTTTATTTGCATGAGACAGTTTCAAGGTCCTCCCCTGTTCTTATTTGTGTTTGGACTTTGACCACTGCTGTCCATGTCTAGACCAGGAGAAGTTCTGGAAAGGGTGTGAGAAATCATATGATTAGGCAATTTATTTTTATTTTCACAATGGTTAGCATATACAAGACCAAAGGAAAATAAATTTCCATTAAAGTTTCTTTTATGGCAATCAATATTTTTATTCATAAACTGTCAGTACTGAGAATATTACTTTTTCAGTTTTGTAAATTATCTTTGTGTTTGTAACATTATGTAGATTACTTGTGATTCCTAAACATGCTGTTATAATGCAACTAGTTCTTCATTATTTAGATCAAGGCTTAATGAGGCAAAAATAGAATAATAAAAACAACAACAAACAAACATGGAGAAAAGAACTAGGTCCCCGCCATAGGACCCCTTTAGGAAACAAAAATGGAAGGTTTTCTCCTCACAATACTTGAGGGAAGAAGAGGTACACTGCTTCGTTTGGAATGATAACCTGGAAAAGGGTGGGGATAAACTCAGGCATGTTCGTGCCTGCTGCACCATCTCTGGCAAGTGTGAGGCAAAGCTTTCGAAGCCACAGCCCCAAGATGGTGGAGGGCGGTGCCTGAGGCCTGCACGTCTACATTATCTGCAGAACAGAGTAATAAGCCGAATATACTACCCTAAACCCAGCATCTTATTCCAGGGCCTATTTCTTTCCCTGCGCCCTCTGCCCAAAGATCGAAGCAAAATATCAAGGAAAAGTAGCTGTAACATATATTTAGAAACAACCTTACAGGAACTGCCTCCTATCTCTCTAGATATGGGTGGCAAAACTGCACCCAGAAAGGCCACGCAGGCAACTCGACTGAGGAGTGGCTTGGGTGGGTGACATGGACAACATCCTGTGAGTATAGAAGTGAAAAACACATGTCCCAGAGACAACAGTTGCCATGCAAAACCAGAAATCACGGACTGGCAAAGCCTAATTTTTAAAGAGAAGTTGAAATCTTATTTTTAAATACAGCAATTTCACCTAACAAAAATACATAGGCATATGACCCCCAAATGACAGACTGAGGAACGTTCATAGTAGCTCTCCAAAAGGTACTTAATCTAGTTGAATATATAAACAACTTGTGGCTTACTCATATATGAGAATACTACACAGTGATGAGAATGAACTGCCGTGTATCACAATGACATGAATGGATCTCAAAAGCATGTCACTGAATGAAAAAAGCCAGATGCAAAAGAGAATGCACAGTATGATTCCATTTATATAAAATTCAAGAAATAACCTATGGTGCTGAACTCAGGCTGTGACTTGAGGAGTATGAGGAGGGATTCTGGATGTATGAGAATGGAGTATGAGGCTAGGATTTCTTGATTGGGGTCATTTTGTAAAAATTAATTGAGTTGTACCATTTTTTTTTTTGTAACATACACTTCAATAAACAGTTCAAAAACAAAACACTGTGCAGGACAAACTGAATTTGACCCAAGGGCTTCCTGTTTATGACTGTGTTCTGAAGGAATTTAGGCAAACACTAGATGCTCTGGATACAAAGATTTTAAAAATCCAGTTCATATTTTCATGATGTTCCCAATTCATCCAGTTAACAGATACATCTGCAACTAAAACATACTTGAATAAATGAGAATATGAGCATTCTAAACCAAACAGGAGGGCGTCATTCCCTAGGTGCTGCAGGGCTAGGATGGGGCCTGAGCTATACTGAGGTCCACTAATGGGACTAGTGAGCTGCCTGGAACTGTCAGCTTGGAGGTCCAAGGAGGAGTACTTTATTTAAGTGAGGGAAGGATGAACACATAGCTAGCTGCTGTGCACATCTGAGGCAAATGTATTCTTTAGGACTGTAGCTGCCTTGTTTAACACAATGTGTGCCATTTCTCTGGAGAGAGGGAACAAACGATGGTCAGATTCTTGATGACAG